GGCCTTCTTGGAAGGAGTCAGCTACCAGGGGCGCTGGTGGAGGCCGCGGGCGAAGAGGATCGCGATATTAGCTTCGAGCTCCCCCCCAGCGCCATCGCAGTCCTGAGAAGGGTTAAAAGATGCGAAATTTTCGACCCGGCAGTTCTTCTACATGGAGAAATCAGGCACCACCTGCAAGGGCGCGCCGAGGTGCTGGTTCATCCATCTCACCGAAATCACCAACATCGTGTACCAAGCCATCCCCGCATTTTAAGACAACCAGTGTATCGCCGAGTATCAAGATTGCGAATGCGTCCTGGTGGCCATGCAACTCGTTGATGACATCAATGTAGCAGGACTGCCTCGTGAGAAGGCCAAGCTACGTAAGTGTCTGGAGGGCGGCCTGGTAAAGGCGAGCTGGGCATCAGCGAAGGAACCTTTGCGTGCTGCGGGGCTCGACCCCCGCCCGCGCGCGACGGCGGATGCGAGCTAAACCAAACCGATGATGTTCTGGCTTTCAGCCCATCGGCAGTGCTGAGCTCTTTGGCAAGGCCGACTCTCAGCTCGCCTCCAGTGGTCTAGCCAAACAGTGCATTGGCTTGCTCATGGCCCTGGCTTTCTCCCTCGTCGCACCGAATGACTTGCGCGTTTACGTTGCAGCGCTCCAGCGCCGCGCGGCAGCTCCGACTTGCGTGCGGCCACATGCGCAAGCTCAACACCTCAGCAAGATGGGCGCAGGCCACGCCGCTGGGGATCCACTATCCACCGCTGCGTTGCGGCAGCGAGTTGGGGGTGCACAGTGACGCAGCGATTTGGAAATAACAGGAAGAAGGTGTCGACGCAGGACGCGCACTTCGAGGAGCTACCTTCCTGCGCGCGGGCACCAGAGACGGGGGCGCCCAACCGACCTTCGTTGGCCGACAGGCTTGCCACCTATTGGTCTGGCAGCGTGGTGCTCTCAAGACGGTGATGCGCAGCGCACTTACAAGTGGTCTGATGGCCGCGATGAGCTCGATTGATCGCGGCCTCGCTTTAGGCGCCACGCTCCGCGAGGTAATCCAGGGCCCGCGCGGCTCCGAAGCCGCGCGACGCCGGCGAGACGGCCAGCGGACACTTGCACTGACAATAGAACAAACTCTTTCTAGGCTCTATGGACGCGGCCGCAGCCGTAGCGGCTGCCAGACCCAAGCCCCCGGTATGGCTTTCTCCATTGTCGCGTGTGTTATGGCTGCGCGACAGTGGGTGGGCTAAAAGTGTCCGCGCGTGTCTCGCCAAGACCAGGATTCATCGAAGCACGTCTGACCAAAATGCATACCCCCTTCCCCCCAAATTCAAAGTTGACCGGTGTGGGCGGTAGGCCAAAGGCCAGGGGCAAAATGTGGGCGCTTCAATTTTGGATTTGGGGGGATGCGCAGCAAGGGCATTGCGCAGTTGTGGTTGTTATCTTGTTGCATCGCCTCGTCGCCATGGGCGCGGGCACTTCTTGCCCGGGCGCCGGGCCGCCCCTGCGCGGTCAACCGTGCGCCTTGATTTGGGAAGATGCACGGGGCCTGGTAGCCGAATAGGCCCACCGAAGGCAGCGTCGACAGATTTCGTCTCCATAGCGTAGCTGATGGCCCCCGCCAGCGGTCGCGCGCGAGCGCGCCTGGCGCCGCCGCCCTTGACGCGGCTGGCAAATTCATTGTGCTTTCAGGCCAGGAGCGCCAGCCTGTGGCTTCATATCCACAATGATCAGCGATCAGGACTGCTCCGTGCTCCAGCTCCCGAGGCCGAACGCCCATCCTCTTCCTCGTCGTATTCGGAAGGCTCGGGGTCATGCGCTTCTAGGTTGGGAAGCATGTTGCGGCGCGGCAGTCCAAGCGTGGTCGCTGGCGCGGTTTTGGCGCCGATGTGCGCCGAGAATGCATGCGCGTGGATGTGGATGCAGGATGCTTAGCATTAGTTGAGACAGGCAGAGAGAGTAGCAGAAGGATCCGCTGCCACTTCCTATTCAGCAGGCTCGCGCGCCGGCCGGCCCTGGCGCTCGGGGCCTCGCCGGGAGGCTCGTGCGCCAGCGGGCCCGTGCGCGCGATCCCAATGCGTGCGGCCGCGCGCTGGCGGCCGCCCGCTTCCGCGCGCGCTGTCCATGTGCCGCCGCCTAGAGAGGGGCCTCGTGAGCCTCCGGCGTCGCCGCCACTGCGGCCGAGGAGGATATCCACATCGTCGCCGACGGAGGCCCCCTCGTCAGAGTCATCGCCGCATAAGGCGCCCAGTCAGGCACGGGCAGCTGCCGAGGCTCCCAGGGCGCCCGACGCGCCCAAGTCGAATCCCGGCCCTGCGCGTCGCGGGCAGTCGGGGGGCGCCTCTGCCAGAGCGCCCCAGAGCGCCGCCGCCGCGCGTGCATCGGACTCCAGGCGTGCCTCCCATGGCGCCTCTCTTGTCTCCGAGATCGAGGAAACAGCTGCGCGCGACGGGGGGAGCAGCCATGGGGGAGATGGCCGCGAAGAAAGCCCAGAGTTCTTTTTTCGCACCAGGATGGCGGTCACGGGGGGCAAGGGCAGCGGCGGGGGAGGGAGAGAGAGCCTGCCGGCTCCGTGCTCAAGCCGCAGGGTCGCGCAGCCGATCGCGTCCTCCCTCGCGCTGTCGCCGCCCGTCGCCCGCCGTGTCCAGCCCCGTGCGCCCTCGCGTGTATCCTTCCAGCGAGCGCAGGGCCGATTGTGTTGCGCGGCCTGTGCGCCGCCTCCAGCGGAGGTGCCGTCCACCGCGCTGGGGGTGCCCGCGGCGGAGCGCGCGCGCTCGCCTGCGCCGCCGTCGCCGCGCAGCGAAGCAGGCCAAGCGGTCGTGACCTTCATCGGGTGGCGGCTCGTCAGCGTCGCCTTCGCGCCGACGGTGGCGCGACGGCGCCTGTTCAATGCCAAAGTCATGGAGCCAATGATGCGCGAGGCCTTTTCTCGCGAGGCTTGCCGCGCGGTTGGCCTTGTTTCGGGCGCCGGGTCGACGTCCGACAGTGAACCTATTTCGGTCATGGTGGCACTGGCCAGCGCCGAGCTCATCGATGTCCGCGCTTCGTGGACTCCCCAGAAGAGGTTCGAGCGCCGCCGTTCCTGGGGGCTGCTGGACCCGGGCAGCTGGCCAGGCTGCGGCCCCGACCTCTCGCGCGCAGCGTGCGCGGCTGCTAGGGGGCTGCCTGCCAGCAGGAGCGGCCCCCAGAAGCCCGTCCTCAGGTCGAGGTCGGCCCTCCGCAGCGGGCCCGCGCCTCGGTCGCCGCGCCCTCCTTCGCTCAGGGATGGGCGCTGGCCGGGCACCCCGCCGCGTCGTTCTCCGCGGCTTCCGCGGCAGCGGCAGCGCTGGCGCGAGGGCGGGGGGGCGGGGTGCGACGACGACGACGGGGACTGCGTCGCGTGGTGGGGGCCGTCCGCGCCGCCGCCGCCGCTGGCGTTCCGGCCGCTCGCGCGCGGTCGAGCCCCCGTGGGCTCGCGAGGTCACGCGGCCCAGCTGTCGAGCAGGGCGGGCCAGGGCAAGGGCAGGAGCGCGAACAAGGGCAATCTCGACGACGACGACGACGACATCAAGCCTAATAGTACGGTGCGACGCGGGGGCGAGAAGGCCAGGCATCGGCGCGCGGCCGCGTCGTCGTGCGCGTCAGCCGACGCTGGCGAGGGCGACGCGGCGTCAGAGGACGGTGCCCGACCCCGGTTCCCGTCCTCTGTTCCCGCTTCTCTTCCACAGCTGTTCGAACGCCCGCGCAACCCCGACTCAAATGGGATGCCCTGCCGCTGCTTGGTTCTAGCGCCGGCACGTATCAACATTATATCGATGAGTGAAAAGCCCGCAGTCTACATCTTATTGCTGCCATGCTTTCTCCCGTTAAGCTTCCACCCCCCGCAATTCTAGTGCCTCCTCCTTCTCTTCTTCTTCTTCCTCCTCCTCTTCCTCCTCCTCCTCCTCCAATGTGCGCAGCTCCTTTCTCTCATTTTGCATCGCGCGATGCGGCCTCTTCGAGGGCCCAGGCCCGCTGGGACGACCGTCAGCGGATATAGACAAATCGACTCAATTGGAAAGGGCGGGTAGGAAGGGCCCGATGTCAAGTATGGTGCGCGTGCCTAAGTTGTCCATTCCGCTGCCCTTCCGCTCCCCGTCCTCCTCCCCTTTTCCGCCCCGCTTCCCCAGCCGCGCCCGATTCCCTCCTCTATTCAATCAGCCCGCCCCCCCTTCCTCCGCGTTTTCCCTCCGCTCTCCCTCTTCCCTTTTCTATCCGTCTCCATCCTTCTCTTGTGCCCTTCCCCATTTCCTTCGTTTTCTCCCCCGTCCCCGTGCATCCCTTCTGCCTCCCCTCTGACGGTCCTCCTTTTCCTCCCCCATCCCCCTCCTCGTCCTCCTCCTCCTCCTCCTGCTGCTCCTCCTCCTCCTCCTCCTCCTCCTCCTCCTCCTCCTCCTTCTGCCTCCCCCTGACGGTCCTCCTTCGTCGGGCAAGCTCGCCTGCTGCGGTGGCCCTGTCCGCCTGCGTGCCGCCCCCCCTCTCCGTCGAGGGCCGGCGCGGCGGGAACCCGAGGCCGGCGCTGTCATGAGGGAAAAAAACGCACAAACAAAATTAATCGTCGATTCCCCAGAAAATATGGGAAAATATGGGAAGTGGGGGGGGGAGACAGACACCCAGAACATGTGGGAAAATATGGGGAATATTCTTATTTGTGTGTATGTGCTTGTGTGTCCCAGGGCCCCTTCACACAGGTGCAGCAAACCCTCCAGGCCCTCAGAGGGGGGATTCCCGGCACAGCGGCGACATCGCAGCCTCCAGGCGCAGCGGGCCCGTTAGCACCAGCAGCAGCAGGCGTTCAGTCCCCCCCCTCTCCTACCCTTCCGCCCCCCACCCCCCCCCCTCTTCCGCATCCCCCATGCCCAGTCGCCCCCTCCCCCCCGCCCCCTCGCTCTCCTCCGCCTTCCTCTCTGTCCCCCCCTCCCCTTCCCCTGCCTGCCCCTCCCGTTCTCATCCAGCTTTCCTGTCGTCCCCCCCCCTCCCCCCCCGCCTCGCGCCCTCGGAGGACTGCTGGCACGCGGAGCCTTCCAGAAGGCCGTGCTTCGACAGGACGCGGCGCCGCTTGCACGTGCGGTTTGCGAGCGTGCGCGCACTACGGCGGCGCGCGCTGCGGCAGGATGGCATTCAACGTAGTGCAATACAGTGGGGGCCAGCGGCGCACGCATGTCAGCGAGTGGCCCATATTGCGTCCAGGGCTTCGCTTCCGCGCAGTGTTCATGTGCGCGTGTTTGTGGGGATCGGAGGCATCTTTCTTAGACTAGGACATCTGCGCCTCCTCCTCCCCCCTCCCCTCCCTTCGTCGTTCCCCTCTTTCCCCTCCTTCCTCTCCCTCTCGTACCCGTCCTATTGCTGCTTCTCCTCCTCCTGCTCCTCCTCCTTCTCCTCGTCGTCGTCGTCCTCCTCCTCCTCCTCCTCCTCCTCCTCCTCCTCCCCCTCCTCCTGTTCCTGCTCCTGTTCCTCCTTCTCCTCCTCATCCTTCTCCTCCTCCTCCTCCTCCTCCCCCCACGGGGGGGTTGTAAAAAGATATGTGCCCTCTCCTCCCCAGCCCTCCTTCTGCTGCTCCTCCTCCTCCTCCTTCTCCTCTTCTGATTCTCCACCTCCTCCTTCAAATCTTCTCCTCCTCCTCATCATTATCCTGTTCAGCTGTTTCTCTTCCTATTGCGATTCCCCCAGGAGGAGCAGGAGGAGGAGGAGGAGGAGGAGGAGGAGGAGGAGGAGGGAGGAGGAGGAGGAGGAGGAGGAGGAGGGAGGTGGAGGAGGAGGAGGAGGAGGAGGAGGAGGAGGAGGAGGAGGAGGAGGGGAGGAGGAGGAGGAGGAGGAGGAGGAGGGGAGGAACAGGGGGGAGTGATCAAGCTAGGTGCGCTCACGTCACCGCTGCGTACATAGGGGATGGGGGGTGGGAGGACGAGGGGATGAGGCGGAGGAGGATGAGGATGAAGAGGAGGAGAGGAGGAGGAGGAGGAGGAGGAGGAGGAGGAGGAGGAGGAGGAGGAGGAGGAGGCGGAGGATACGGAAGGAGGAGGACGAGGACGAACAGCAGCAGCGGGAATTGGAGTGCAAGGAGCGGGGAGAGAAGGAAGACCAGGGGAAGGCGGAGGAGGGGAACGTAGGGAGGCGACGACCATGCGGACGGACTCGGATCCAGAAAAAAGAGACCCGCGCTCGGGCGAGAGCGCCATTTCGAATGACGGGAGCCAAGCCGCGATCCTAAAGTTAGGCCTACGCGGCAGCGAGAGCACAATTCTGGAATGACCGAGAACGTTCGGAATGGAAAGACACACGACACAAACGAGCTCGGCACCACCCTGCGCGTAAAGACGGTGCGTGGAGGGGGGCGGGCTGCCGCCCGGCCGTCGTCGGGTGGGAGGAGAGCAGTGTTCCTCTGGGGCAAGCGTGGAGCAGCGGCGGGGGGAGGACGGAGAGGAAGAGCAGGACGTGGAGAAGGCCATGCCTGGCCGCTGCTCCCTGGCCGGGCCCGTCCCGGGCCGAGGCGCTGCGTATATACTATGTGCGTCTCCCCGGCCGAGCCGGGAGGGCGTGTACAGTGTACACCGCTGCTGGGTTCGGGATGGGCCTGGCCAGGGAGCAGCGGACGCGTGTAGACTTCGTCGCCCCATGGCGGGGGAGAAGCAGGAGGGGACAAAAACACGCAGACACAATTAATCGTCGATTCCTAGGAAAATATAGGAACATATGGGAAGTGGGTTGGAAGACAAAAACCGAGAACATAGGAGAAAACATGGGGACATTTTTTATTTGTGTGTATTTATTTGTGTGTCCTGGGGCCCCTTCAGAGAAGCAGGAGGAGCCCGTCGCCCCCTCGCCCCCCGCCTCGGCGTGCGTGCGCTGGTGGCCGCCGCCTGGGCGGTCGAGGGCGGGGCCCTGAGGAGGGGGCCGGAGGTTCTCCGGGCCTGCTGGTGCTTCGGGAGGAGAAGACACACACGGGCACAATGAATCGTCGATTCCCCAGGAAATGTGGGAAAATATGGGCAGTGGGGGGGAAGACAGAAGCCCAGAAAGCATGGGAAAATACGGGGGATCCTGTTTTTTGTATGTTTTTCTTTGTGTGTCCCGGGGCCTCTTCAGTGCTTCCCAAGCGGCGCTCGCACTTAGATGTTCTTCCTTGTCTCACAGTCGGCGGCGAGCGAGGGGGGGAAGTGCGAAGGAGAAGGCCTTCTCGGAAGGCGGCGGGGCCTCTCAGAAGCAAACGCGCCTGCTGAGAAGTGTTCTGCGTCTTCGGGGAAAGCTTAGAAATCAGAAGGCCGGGGGACTTCAGAGCCTTCCGAGAAGGCCCGCCACTTCTCACTTCGCCCCGGGGCTCACCGCCGATACTTGTCTCATGAGTAACTGGGCATGGTTGCCGGTTCCGCCGCCTTGTCGCCGCTTCGTCGCCGGCTACCGCCGCCCGTCGCCCAGGCATGGTTGCTGATTCCGCCGCCCTGTGGCTTCCGTTGCCGTCTCGTCGCCACGCGTCGGCACATAGATTGCACCACATCGATAATTAGCATCACTTTTTTTATATATGTATATATATATATATATATATTCACGCACTCATTTCTATAATAATGATAGGATCTACCATCTACCCCCTCCGGAATTCACGGTTCTCTTTTTCATGTTGCAATTTACATTTGATTCTGCCCCATCGTCCATCCTAAGTATGAATTCGTACCATCCCAGGCATTTTTCAAAAAAGTAGAACGCGCGCGCACTCACTTATCGAAAATGGCTAGTTTCAATAATCCCTTGCAACAGAAGGGACGAAGTGCACACGCGCGCGTCGTTGCGCGCGCATGCCGAAATGCTTAAAAAACCTGGGCTTTCGCAAGGATTTCAAAATCGAGTGCCCCGACAACGTATTAAACACATGTTTTTTCGTAACAAGATTGTTCCCAAAAAGCTTGCGCCCGCGCTCTTGCGAATTAGGAAAACCGTTTATTCTTCAACAACGTATTCGTAAAATACTGCCAAATGGGCCTTTCGCGCGCGCATGTCGAAACCATTCGAACGCACCTGCGCGAGTGCTGTCGCAAGGATCCTTTGCAGCAGATTGGACGAAGTGCGCACGCGCGCGTCGTCGTGCGCGCACGCCGAAATCCTTCAAAAATCATAGAATCAGGATTTCAGAATCGAGTGTCCCGAGAAACGTATCAACACACATGATTTTGCAAAGCCAGTTTTCAACAAAAAACCTGCGCTCGCGCTTTTGTGAATTCTCAAGTAAACCATGCGTTTTCAAAATTTCTAGTAAATTCTGCCAAACGGGCCTCTTGCGCCACATGCCGAAATCATTCGAATGCCCTTGCGCGCGTGCTGGGGTTGGGCCTGATCCGTGTCAAAAGAACACCATGCGGGCCACTCGCGCGTCGGCCGCGCGTGCATGGTGAGCTCCTTCCAAGACCTTCATCACCGAGGCGAGGACGCCATCATCGTCGCCGGCTTGATCAGCATCGGCGTCGTCACTGGCTTTGCCGTCGTCGTTGTCATCATCGTCATTCGCATCTTTACGATCCTCCTCGTGTCTACCGTTGTCGACGTTGCCACAATACCGCGCCCGCCCGAGTCGCCGGCTCGCACTGAAGTGCCCGCTTGGACATGCTTAGCGGTCAGCGCCACCGCTGCCGCGTCGGTCGCGCCAAACTAGCAGGCCGCTGCGCGTGCGGGCATGCGCGGGCTCGCGCGGCCGCAGAGATGCGCCAGCCAACACCAAGCACTCGTCGCAATCGCCTTCGCATGGGTTTATGCAAACCGAGTTGCGGGTTGGTGGGTGGGATGATTGCGCGGTAAATGGAGTTGACACCTCATTGCGAACAGAATCTACATTTTTAGAAGTGTGTTCGGATCTCCCTCATTCCCCGTGGGACTTGACGGTTCCCCTTTTCGTATCGCAATTTACACATGATTCTGGCCCATCGTCCATCCCTAATCTGAATCCGCACTATCCCAGGCAGGCTGGTATCGCCCCCTTGCATCCTTTGCAAAACATAGTGTGCGTGCGTATTCGTTTATCGAAAATCATATGTTTCCGAAATCCCCGTGCAGAGCAAGAGGCGAAGTACACGCCCGCGCGTCGTTACGCGCGCGCTGAAATCTTTCAAAGTCGACCGTCCTGTAAAAACACATGGTTTTGCAACGCCAGTTTTCAAACAAGCCTGCGGTTGCGCGAATGTGAACTCTCAAGAGAGCCATGTCTTTAGTAAACATTAGAAAAGGAAAAAACAAGAACACCTTTTCATGCCATTATGCCAAGCGGGCCTCTCGCGCGCATGTCGAAATTATTCGAACGCCCTTGCGTGCGTGCTGGGGTCGCGATCCGTTTGAGTGACACCATGTGTGCCAGTCGCGCGTCGGCGGCGCTCGCATGTCGAGCTCCTTCCAGCGCTCCCATCGCCGACGCGAGGACGCCGTCATCGTCGTCAGCTTGATCAGCATCGGCGCCGTCACTGGTCTTGCCGTCGTCGTTGTCATCGTCGTCATTCGCATCGCTACCATCATCCTCGTGTCTGCACTTGTCGACGTTGTCATGATACTGCGCCCGCCCAAGTCGCCGGCTCGCACTCAAGTGCCCGTTGGGAAATGTCCAACGTTCACGCCATCGCGGCCGCGTCGGTCGCGCCACACTAGCATGCCGCTGCGCGCGCGGGCATGCGCGGGCTCGCGCGGCCGCAAATATTCACCAGCTAACACCAAACATTCGTCGCAGTCGCCATCGCGTGGGTTTATGCAATCCAAGTTGCGGGTTGGTGGGTGGGATGATTGCGCGATCAGTGGGGTTGATATTTCATTGCGAGCAGAATGAGATTTTTCTAGAGGAGTATTCGGATCTCCCCCCTTCCCCCCTGGGACTTGACGCTTCCCCTTTTCGTAATCCAATTTGCACATGACTTTGGCCCATCGTCCATCCTGAATATGAATTCGTACCATCCCAGGCAGGCCGGTATCGCCCCAGTGCGTCCTGTGCAGAAAGTATTATGCGCGCGTGTTCGTTTATCGAAAGTCCCAAGTTTTGGAAATTCTTGTGCGCAGAAAGAGGCGAGGTGCACCCG